TGAATTCATGGTAAATTATGAGATTTTTGAAGTTATTAGATAAGCTGTAGGGTGAACTTGCTCCAAATAATATGTATTGGAACTATTAATAAACATTTAGCAAGATCAAAAGATAGTATACAACATAACTATACCGAGTATACATAGGTAGTAGATAGTAATTATCTTATAAAATGTTTACCATACTAAAAAGGTGTGCATGAGAGAGACCTCTCCTTTAAAACTCAATGCAAATATATATATATATATAAGAGTAAAACCATCAATGTGTTTATTTCAAAGACGTAACAAAAATATGAGTTGTTGGTTGCTCATTCACACATGAAGGTCTAAAACTCAATGATGCAACAACGGCACTTGGAGTTGCATTTTCAAAAATAGATAACGGACTACGATGATCTCTCTTTCTTTTGAAAAGAACAAACGGATTGCTAACGAAACTACTATTATCATCATCATTGTCTATCAACTTCGATTAACCAATACCACCTGCATTAGTCAATCAAGCATGACGATTCTAGCCATAACAACTTGTTGCAAGACCAAAATCCTAGTATTTCTTGTTTATTAACCACACTAATACTTTATATCACGACGGAAGAAATCAATAAATCCAAAAATGAATAATGATTAGGCATCAAAAGATTAAAAAAAAAAAAATCAACAAATAACAATTAAGTATAAGCAATAAATTGGGCATCATAATTGAAAAAAAAAAAAAAAGTACAATTCACAAAACAAAACAAAATTCAAGGTTATAAAGAAAACAAAAGGCAATGAGAGCTCTAGAAAAAGCTACAAACCTATTGGAGAGAAAATAAAATAAACAACCGGCTTTTATAAAGCCCATTCTAAAAACTTAGAAACAAACCACAAAAAAAAAAAAAAAAAAAACTTACCACAACATAATAGGACAATCACTAGCATGGGAGGAGCAATCCAAAAAGGAAAACAAACATAGAAAGATACAAAAAGAAAGGTTGCTAACAACAAATTTGAGCAAAAATAATTTAACATTCTTTGCTTGAGCATCTAAATAATCCATACGAGAAAAAAAAAATTGAAGAGAAAAAGGAAAAAACGTGAATAAACTTCTAAAGAGTGAACCAAAGACATGCAAAAACAAATAAAAAAGGTGGAGAGCGAAACATAATGCCTAAATTATATGTATATTTTCTTTGATAACATATAAAAAATAAATAAATAAAAAGAAAGATAGGAAACAAATATAAAAAACTTAAAAGAGAAAATAAGTACGGTAGCTAATTTGGTAAAATCGACTAACATGAGCAACGAAAACATCAAATATAATATTTTACACAAATCACTAATATCATAACCGCCACTATTAGTCAAGAATCCAATAGCGAGACAAGTTAAAAATATACTTAGAAATCTTCTTAAAAAATGGGCTAGATGAAAATCTAAAGGAAAGTAAATTAGAAATACTTTTTTGTAATTGCCATAAAAAATCTTTTTGACCAATGAAACACATTGCTCAAAATAGGAATCAAAGAAAATGGTTAAGATAAAAACATTGATGAAAAGTTTGATCATAAAGTAATGACTAATTTAGCACTTAAACTCATAACTACCGACCAACATCATAGGCAACATCCATAAACCCGCTCACACTACAATAAAACCAAGCGGGAATGGAGGAGACAACTATCATTAAATAAATCAAAGAATCTAGCGAATTCAGCTGGACTTCAATCACATCCAAATCTAAGCTGATTGCATCCTCCAAAACAAAAATAAAAACTCATATGGGAAAAAATATTTGCACAATAATGGCAAAAAAATGAATATGTAAGGTGGAAAATTAAGCCAAGATAATGATGCCATCTTCTGGTTCTAATCCAACAATGTAAGAAATAAGATGAGGTTCGAGGGAGGGAGGTGGGGAGGAAGGCATCCAAAAGGAAAAAAAAAAAAAAAAAAGAAGGCAAGAAAAACATAAAATAAGAAAGAAATTGAAATATTTCAAAATATCATTCGACGACAGACATGAATAAAAGTCATTATGATAAAACTTTAATAACTAAATTGAAAGTAACATCACAAAATAAAAATTAAATAAAAATTCACAAAAACCTTTAAAAGGAGCTTACTATGGAACTACAAAGATAAAATCATAAATTAAGAACCAAAACAAATAATTTTTTTCCAAAAAAAGGAAAAAAAAAACAGCTTAACTACAATATAGGAAAACTATATTTAATTTTAGTATCTTTATTAATTTTTTTCCCAAGTAGTATGATGTTTCAGGGTTATACCCACTGTTTGTCCGAATTTGTGTTCGTACCCTTGTGATCTCGGAAATGCAATTAGATGAGAATCCTGAGGCCATTTTCAAATCACAGTAAGAAATGTGGCACAATCAACATGTCAGTGTCATGACCTTGCCACATGTCAAGATCTTACTAGGCTGTAGAGTTCCATGTCACACAAAGCATTGTGGTGTGACCTCATTATTGTCTGTTCTCCGAAGACAAAAGAAGTAGGAAAGGCATGGAATGCAGACAAATAAAGAGCTAAACTATATCTTCGATAATTGGAATCAAAATCTAAGGTTATGGTTCTAAATTAATTTGTTTGTATGATTCAAGGGAAAGAGACAATTGCGCCTTGCTGTTAACTTCTTGGTCCCTGATCTCTGGACATAGTTGTCATTTTATAGCAATAAATTGCTATGTTCTTTTCTTCTGTTCGGTCAATTCCAGTTTCTTTTTGTTTGTGGTATGATTGCCCTTTAGGTTGCTGGCCAGTCTTATCCCTTCTCTACACTGCCTACATGTTGTTTGGATTCAAGTTAGTCCGGTCTAAATTATTTTTGACATTTGGTTTTGGCCATGACTAGTGCTTCAATCCTGTTAAAATAAACATTTGTTCTCTTTATCCTTTCTAAAGGTCATTAGTCCAAATTTCAAGAAATATATATATATATATATATTGAAAATGAAAAACTGCCTCTTTTCATTGGATAAAAAAGAAAAGAAAAGAGAAAAGTGTGAGCCAAGATACAATATAAATCACGTTATGGATGCTAGAATCTATGTATACACCAACAATTATTGACACTGACATTCGACTGTTTTGATACTTATGCCACAATCAAATACACGATACAGCCTTTTCTCACAAGGAACAATGACCACATCGATTAAGGCTTCTTCTTGGGCTGAAAATCAGCTTCTTTTGTATAGGGATTTAATTAATTTATGATAATTATTGTAAGAAGACATAAACATGCTCGAAATCTGGATTCCCAAATGATCATAAATCTTCAGTGGTCCTAGAAAAGCCTATCCACCACATTCCATGCCCCATTTTTACAACAAGCACGCTGTAATGCACATAGCCAATGATAACCCTTTCTTCTTTTTTCTTTCTTTTTTTTTTTTTTTGAAGAACTTACTCATGCCCAATCATACCGTTACGGATCAAAGTGCATTAGTAATTTCATCACGAGAGAGAGAGATGGCAGCTTTAGCTTTTAAAAGTTTCTACTTTTTTGAATAGAGTTTTGGTATGGAATGACTGTCTGCTGAAGGAAAAAGAGGACTCTCTCTACGTGTGATAGTTAGCTGATAGTGGTTGGCCATATGGAATCTCCAAAAGCAATCCTCCAACATTTTACAGCGCAAAAGTGACTACACTTACAAAATATTTAGACAGACACTAGCCACAGCATAGAGTAATATATATATATATATTAAAAAAAAATGTTTAGTGCGAACAAAGATACTCATTTGGGTCATGGTCCTAGTATGGTGGAGTACATTACAAATTAGTCCCTCTAGTTTGAAAAACAAATTATATAGTCTCTTTTGTTTCAAAAACTAATTAATTGGGTTTTTTTATTAGCATTGATCGTGATTAATTTAATATTATTTTATTTTAAAAATATATTTATTTTTTATCAATTTTTTCTTAAAATAAAAAAACAAAATAAGAATTAAGTTATAAATATATTCAAATATATAGAGACGAATTAATTAGTTATTGAAACTAGAGGGACTATTTAATTCTTTTTAAAACCTTAGAGGGACTGATTTATAATTTAACCTAATGTGGTGGGTAACCAAATCCACTAACATCATCAATCTCGAGCCCAAAGTTTTTTTCTACCTCGAGATTCTCACATTCTCACAAAATAAGAATAAAAAATAAAAAATTGAACTTTAGTAAAATGGGTTTTTTGCTGTGGCCAAACTCGGAGAATGTTGGATTCCTTTTACCTTCCTTCTCTTTCTGCTTTTTATTTTTATTTTTTATTTATTTTGTGATAACAACGAAATAACCTAGTAAAGTACACACAGACATGACAATGCTCCTCATGTTGTTCTATTTGTTTTTGGTAAGAAGTGCAACAACATTTGCATAACCCATCTCTAGGTAATAACATGACTGATGACTCACTAACCCAGAAAGAATTTTTGTTCCACTCCCCTCTATGCATACAAATATTAAAATATGTTAAAATTTTGTAATAATTATAATTTCCCACATGCCTAGTTTTTTGTTTTTTTTTTACACAATTGTGGTGAGGAATATAAAATTCAGCAGTATGTATGCTTTATAGGGCAATGCATGATTAACTCAGAAATGAGAATTTCCATCTCTCTCCTTGCCCTAAGAATATTGGCTAGATTTAATTGCTTTTTGGTGCTTTTAAGATTGAAGATATGTATAATATGACTATATATATATATATATATTGATTTCTTTACCTATACTGACTCAACGACAGGCATGCTAATGCTAGTTCCCTTTATACAACCAAAAAACTCGTTCTTTTCTTGGGTCTGACACAAAAAAAGATTTTGGTGAATGGATTTCTGGCATGTAAAGCAGGAAGTGGGTTCTAATCTAAGGATTGCCTTAAACAAAAGTAATCCATTTTGAAAGTTGGTTTCTCTGGTAGCTAAAACAGTTGCCATTATCAGAAAAGAATTTAGCATTTCTTTTTGGTTCTTGTACACTTCACGACTTCAATGGCAAGAAGAAGAAGGGACGGTCTCTATTTTGTGGCTTTCTTGTGGGTTTTGACTACTGCAAATGGATTGCTGTCTCCTAAAGGAGTAAACTATGAAGGTAACGTCAAAATTCCCTCTCTTTTTTTTTTCCTTATGCTTCAAATATGAAGAAAAATGGAAGTTTTTTTTTTTTTTCTAAATGAGTACTGTTTGTATTTCAGTTCAAGCTTTAATGGGAATAAAAGCTTATTTACATGATCCTCATGGGGTTCTTGATAATTGGGATGGAGATGCTGTTGATCCTTGTAGCTGGACCATGGTAACTTGCTCTCCTGAGAGTCTTGTCATTGGCTTGTAAGTCTTCTACAATCTCGTATTTTCATAGAACAACAATCTCAAAACATACATGAATTAGCAGTAATTCAAAAAGAATAATCATTTGTTGAGGTTGCTGAACTGGTCTTGCTGCAGGGGAACTCCTAGCCAGAATTTATCTGGAACTCTTTCTCCAACTATTGGCAACTTGACAAATCTTCAGACTGTGTAAGTAGTCAGAAATAAATGGATAGTTCTAAAGTTTGAAGAGTGGATGTTCCTGATATGTTACTGGTGTTAACATTTGGGATTTTATATGCATTTTTCAGGCTCCTGCAGAGCAATAATATTACAGGACCAATTCCTGCAGAGATAGGAAGGCTCTCGAAGCTGCACACACTTGATCTTTCTGATAATTTCTTTACCGGGGAAATTCCTTCCTCTTTAGGCCATCTGAGGAGCCTAGAGTACATGTGAGCTTGAAGTTTGACTATTACAATATTAAGCTTAAAATGCTTTGTTGTTGCATTCTAAAGAATCTCTCTCCTTTGGACCAATTTTAACTTGCGTTCTTTGAACTGGATCAGGAAGCTAAATAATAACAGTCTCTCTGGAGAATTCCCAACGTCATTGGCTAACATGACCCAGCTTGTGTTACTGTATGTCTCTTGACCCTATTCTTGTAAATCAGAGATTTATCACCTGATTAATATGTGTTGTTGAAAGAGATTTTTCTGTGGATTTCAGTGACTTGTCATTCAATAATCTGAGTGGCCCTGTACCAAGATTTCCTACCAAAACATTCAGGTAAATATGTCTCCTCTTCCTCTCTTTTTGTCTGATTAGTGAATTGAAGACCAAGTTTGAATGTATCTTCTGTTGCATTTCTTATTCTTGCAGCATTGCTGGAAACCCTCTAATCTGTCCAACAGGTTCTGAACCAGAATGCTTTGGGACAACGCTAATGCCAATGTCCATGAACTTGAATAGCACACAAAGTAAGGAAACTGGACTGTGCAATCCCAATTCAATGATATTTCCATTCATGATCTGTAACTTGCTCTGGATTGATCATGATAGTAATTTCATCACATCTTAAGCAGCTCTTCCTTCAGTCAAACCGAAAAGCCACAAAATAGCTGTTGCATTTGGCTCAAGCGTTGGTTCTGTCTCACTTATCATTCTTGTGTTTGGATTATTTTTGTGGTGGAGGCAAAGGCGCAATCAACCGACATTTTTCGATGTTAAAGGTGTGTGCCATATATAACCCTTCAATTTTGCTAATTACTTGCGATGGTATATGAAGCTTATAGTAATCAATGATGCAACTCTGTGACTCATCAGATCGCCAACATGAGGAAGTTTCTCTTGGAAACTTGAGGAGGTTCCAGTTTAGGGAACTTCAAACTTCGACAAACAACTTTAGCAATAAGAATATACTTGGAAAGGGAGGCTTTGGCAATGTGTATAAAGGGATTCTCCATGATGGGACTATTGTAGCCGTCAAGAGGCTTAGAGATGGCAATGCCATTGGAGGAGAGATTCAATTCCAAACAGAAGTTGAGATGATCAGTTTAGCAGTGCACCGGAACCTCCTTAGGCTCTACGGATTTTGTATGACACCAACAGAAAGACTTCTAGTTTATCCATACATGTCCAATGGCAGTGTAGCTTCCCGTCTCAAAGGTGGCATTCGTTGGTTTCTATGGCTAAGATTATCAATACAGATATCCTAAATGATAAAATTCATATTTTAATTAGCTAAACTGATGAACCTTCTTATTTTTGGCAGGCAAACCGGTCTTGGATTGGGGCACCAGGAAAAGAATTGCCTTGGGAGCTGCGAGGGGACTATTGTATCTCCACGAGCAGTGTGATCCAAAGATAATCCACAGGGATGTTAAGGCTGCAAATATACTTCTTGATGACTATTGTGAGGCTGTAGTGGGTGATTTTGGGTTGGCAAAGCTTTTGGATCACCAAGATTCACATGTCACTACCGCTGTGAGAGGCACTGTCGGGCATATAGCACCTGAATATCTTTCAACAGGTCAATCCTCAGAGAAAACAGATGTTTTTGGATTTGGTATCCTGCTTCTTGAATTAATCACAGGCCTAAGAGCACTAGAATTTGGAAAGGCAGCCAACCAGAAAGGAGCCATGCTGGACTGGGTGAGCACAATACTTATAATAATGCTGCCTATACATGCTTTAGAAGTCTTTGTTCTGCTATCTGCAATTCAGTTCTCTGACATTTGTTATTATGATTGCAGGTAAAGAAAATTCATCAGGAGAAAAAGCTTGAAATGCTTGTCGACAAGGATCTAAAGGGAAATTATGATAGATTTGAGCTCGAAGAGATGGTACAAGTTGCCCTCTTGTGCACCCAATACCTTCCAAGCCATAGACCCAAAATGTCTGAAGTAGTTAGAATGCTGGAAGGAGATGGGCTTGCAGAAAGATGGGAAGCTTCTCAAAGAGCAGAAGCAACTAAGTCCAAACCCCACGAATTCTCCTCATCAGATCGATATTCGGATCTCACTGATGACTCTTCATTACTAGTCCAAGCAATGGAGCTCTCTGGTCCAAGGTGATTTCTTTACAAAATTTTTCTATATTTTTCTCTTCTTTTCTTTTCTTTCTTCTTTACATTTTAAAGAGACTTAGAATAATAGAAGATCAAGTTATAGGTGAAGCTGTTTTGTGCTAGTATTTTCATGGTTGAGGGTTCTTTTGTTGTATAATAGTGGTATAATCAAAGCTCCAAAGGGCTTGATGTTTTCATCAAATTGTACAGATCCTGTTTTGAGAAACTGACACTATTGAAAAATCCATGTATTTGTATTCCTACTGAGTGACAATTCTACGAGGATCCAATTTATTTTGTGAGTTAATTATGTTCATTGTACGTTGATCAAATTTTCACAATTTAAAGCATCAGGTCCTCTAATATGATGTTTCTTCTCCTTGAATTTTGTGGTCTGTTTTGTGAGCCAAACCATTGATTTTTGAACTAATATGAACAATATATGTTAGTTTCTCAAATAGTGTTCTTCGGCAGAAACTTTGGTTCGGTAGTAAGCAAATTAATGGCCGCATTACTACATTGAATAGGAAGCAAACAGGCACATCAAACTCTTCAGGCTTTGAATCTGAGACGACTAACATCTTTTGAATAGCTTTCATGCTGACAAATTTAGTAGAAAACCTTAGAAATAAACAATGCATCTTAATTTTTAAGAACAGTTGTTGCAGTCACCAAATTCTTAAACAAGGGAAGAAGAAAATATATTTAAGTGATATGTAACAAAGAACAAGTCATTCTTTTTTTTATTTATTTATTTTTTTTTAAAAAAAAAGAACTAGTCGTATCAAATACCAACTACCACTTCCCAGCATCAGGTTTTGCCTGTGGATATGAGACTGACAGTGGATGAACGCATTTCATTTCAATTCTGTCCAAGAGATAATGAAACATAACTTTTCGCTGACCTGTGCAAAATCTCCGACAAAATCCAACATTTGCAGCCTGCATTTTCCAAATTAACGTTGGTTAGAATTTCAAAACAGCTACGAAAGGTGGAGAATATAATGTACGAGGAAATAACATGAAAATCCCTACCTCAGCTCCACCTCCAAGCTCAAGTTCAGATGCAGGACCATAAGGTGACTGATCTTCATTTGTTTTCCTCTTTGCCTACGTAACATCAAAGTGAATCAACTGCATCTTTCATTTTAGTGTGCTAATTTATTTCCAAACAATCGGCTACAACAGAATACTACAATAGACTTCAATTCCAAATCCCATTTATCTTTTCTTCAATTGTGCTTTCTCAGATGCCAAATGAATGATTCAGGGAAAAATCTAGCAATCCATACGAAGAACAAAGATCGAAAACCCCATAATCAGAATCAGAATCAAGACCAACCTCCTTGGTGAAATTGAAAGTTTCAAGACAAAGGAAAAAAAAAAAAAAAAACACAAACACAAACAAGCAGTCAAGATGAAACAGAACTATAGTATTTCATAAGCCTCAAAGAACATATTATTTCTATCCAAATATCAACCACATAATTTATCCCTGGGATATTTAAAGAGATCTCATCAACATTAGTGGCAACAACAACAATCCGCTCACCTTCCTTGACCTTTTAAAAAACAAGGTGTTCTGCTTCAGAAAGCCTGGCATAGCGAGGCAGAACACTCAATGCTCTAACAGTGAGACCTTTATCTTCTCCCCTCTTCTTTATCATACCATGGTTGGACTTCTAGAAGCAACCTTCTTGTACAAAAGGAATCTGTTTTTCCTCAGAATTAGAGTCTGATGTATTTTTTCCAGATAATGCTTCAAAAGAAGCCCCTCTCCTAAAACACTTACAAGATCAACATTATTTTCTGGGGTTTTCTGATCCCATAAACCTGTATCGCCACCAACAATTTCTGCTTCACTCTCTGTCTCTTAATCATAAAATCCAATTCCTCGTTAAAATCTGGCATATCTTCATCATTAGAGTCATTAGAATTGCCCTGAATCTCAAATGCCTCATTGATGTCCTTCATGTGGACTCTTTCAATGGAATTCTTTCAGACATTGCTGTGAACTCATTCCGTACATTCTTTTTTCCATTACAAGTGATCAACCTCCTTGAAGCTTTACGTAACTTCTGGCACAAGTACTCTAACTCTCTCTGCCCTGTGACAAAGACAAAGTATGCCTCCTGGTGGCAGTGTCTTGTGGATATACAAAATTTTCTTATAGGCCTGGCCAATTAAGAATGAAAGTAATCTTCTTCTGGTCCTTATACAATTCATGTTTTCAGAACTTATACCTTGACCTCGCTGGTCCTTATACAAATCTTGCCTTTGTGTACAAGATTGCTTGAACAGTTAAATTTTAGTACGAGCCTTTAGATGGCGGAGTCGAATGTACATGAAAGCATCCCAAAAAGAATGCCTGTATTCACAGTTCTCTGATGAACCTCATCCAGAATTATATTCAGCAATAGAATTAAAAGCACCAAAAAGGCTTCAGCAGAAAAAAGTTAGAGAGTCCATATATATTTGAAACCCAAAACAAAAGGAGTTTTGGATCCCTGACTTCATTCATACTGATAAATGACAGAAGAATTATTAAGAATTCCAAATTTCCAGGAACCATCCCAGAAACATAATTCTGCAGAAAAGGAAATGAATAAGTAGAACCTAAGAGTTCCATCCAGGAACTAAACTAGCAGTTCTTCCTAAAAATCCATCCTTGCTTTCTATTTCTCATATGCTCCTTTTGGTCAGAATCGATAGAGCCCAGATATATATTTCATCCATAGATTCGGATAACTGAGAAAGCCATTGACATAAAGAATATCCTAGAAGCCCAAACATATAACAGAAGAAAGTCTTGAAGGCAGCCTAGTAAAGGAACTAGGAACATAATATCACAACTAGAAAATCTGAAGAATTTTAATTATTAGATCCTAGATCATTGGTGTATTATCATCACAACACTACATAGAAGATGAATATCAAGTGGAATCCAATTAAGAACAAAATAGATCAAATCTTGGATCTGACTAAATTCATGCAGGTAAGTGGAATAATATAAATTATGATTTTTAACTTTTCAAGAACAAAATCCAGAAACATTCATCTGCAAGAAAGGTAAAGAAATAGTTAGAAATACCTAAGTTCTACTGATAAGATAAACTAGAATTTCTTCTCTAAACCGAAAATTCATCTTTGCTTTCTTCTTTTTGCTCATATTACTTCTTCTTGGTCAGTGCTAACAGATCCAAACTACCAAATTGCCTTCCCTTTTATTACTCTTCTTTGCAGCTGGGAACGTTGTTGCCTTGCTATCACCTACCAAACTACCAAATGCAAACAAAAAAATTTCAGGGAGAAATTTAAGAAAGAAAAAAAAATATTTTGATTGAAATGATTTAATGTACGTAAACAAAACAACCCAATTAGCTGAAAACATTACGCTTTAGGTGAGCATGACTAGACCTGGTTTTCCTGAATTATTCAAAATTCCATAGAGAATCAGAAAAATAGCATGTTTTTGATGTATTTTCCCATTAACCAAACGCAGCCAGCTATACAGGAGATCACATAACTAAGGAGAAGTGATTAAGATGTTTTTATTACGAAGAATTTTCAACGTACACTTCTACAGGGCTTGTCTCACCAACTAGATTGTCTGTTCTCTGTTACTTGTGCAACAAGAACCCCAAGCTTAATGGTGCCGTATTTTTTTTTTTTTTCTTATTGCAATTCTTTTCTTTCTTTTTCCTTTTTATCTATGGAGTTTACTAACACCTAACCCTAATTTTATCAAACCTGCCAACCTTCATTTGATGAAAAAAAAAATCTTGGGTTAAACAAAGGCTTTACTTTCTAGCTATTTGTTATAAATTACACAAATATTTCAAATGCGGAAATTAAGAATAAAACTATAACTACAAAAACTACTAAAATCATATTGGCAAAATCTTAAAGAGACAAACCAAGAAGCAGCCCATTTATTTAACGTAAGAAAGAATTAATTTTAATACTCGAAAATATCATACATTACCTTTACTAACTACTATGGCATGATTAGTATCTACCAGTTCAAAGAAAAGGTAACCATGTAATAAATTAATAATCCAAGTTTACAAGATGATGTTAATAATAATAAATAAAAAAAAATGCTGTTAATCTGTAAAATTCATGTGCTCCAGAGACAAGTAATTACTAAACAGATGTAAGAGAAAATGCTTATATAGTTATTTAAAAATAACTTGAAAGGTCTTTGGTGGAACTCATACTCAAGCTTCAATGGACAGTTCAAAGCCAACCCATATATTTTAACAAGCCAGACCATACACCAATAAGGCCTTAAGTTCCTAGACATTGCTAGACATTTTCAGCTTCAGCAACTCATCTATTTGGTCTCCCTAAGCCATGGCCTTAAATGCTATTGGCTTATTGTTGGTAGAGACAGGGGTTGTGCTATAGCTAGGACAAAACATTCTATGAACAATAGAGAAACTTCCTCCATTTTCTTGGCCCAAATCCACTTTAAATCCATACCTTCAGTTATTCGAATTCCAATAAGGTGACCAAACAATAGACATAAATGTTGATAGGCTCTTCACCTTCTGGCATATTGGTGAAATGTTGCAATAGAAAGGCTCATCCATCTTTGCCTTCCCCTTTTCCAGGTGAAAAGGTTCTTCCATAGAAATCATCTATCAAAGCCCAACACTCGAAACTTATTTTGCAGATCACTGGTACTCACAACTGCTACAGAGGTTTTCCAGCAATATTTTGCCAGAAAAATAACATTTCACAGTGAAAAAGGCAGAAAGCAACCAAAATGTGCATCCTGGTTTCAATTTCCTTGGAGATCTATAGCTCCCAAACTGACCTGTTCACTGTTACCAAAATATTTTTACCGGCAACTTAAGACTCAAGGATTGCCATACCTTTAACTCTACAGCCGGAAAAGCACATATCCAAAATGAAACACGAACCAAGTCTGTAATTATTTTTTATTCAAAGAAAAGATGTCTATAACCTTGTTCACAACTGTGGATGAGCTTAAATAGTTTACAAGCCTTAACACTAAAATCTATAAAGAAAAAGTAAAGAACACAACAACAGCAAACTTGGCAACGCCATTATGAGAAATAAATCTTAGAGGGCTAAACTAATGAACTTAACATGTTTTGAAGCCCGCTCAACTTCCTGCAAGAATGATTCAGAAAATCTATCACCTCTGAATTTTACAATAGTCATCGACTCGAGCACCGGTGAATGAGCAAGTAAAAGTTTTAGAAATTCCCACTCAGCTCTTGTGCCAATAATCCCTCGAATCTTCACCACTTTGAGTTGGTTGAAATAAAACTCACTCTGGCACTGTCCTGTCATCATATCCACGACAGGTTTGCAAATATCTTCACATGGGTGAACCTGTCAGCAAGAAAATCATAATTACAGCAAGTGAATTTCTATAAGCATATCAAATTTAAGAAACTCAAATTCCTCTTCCATAGACCAAAAAATTGCAATACAAATGTTAATGATTATTTGGTCAAGTGACTCACAGTAACAAGAAGATCTTTCAAATTTGGGGAGCTTCTGAGTATAGAAATGGAAGCCGCGATGCCTTTCATACTAGTAAATCTTATTTCTTTTAGTTCAAGGGTCAAGAGGCTGTAGAATGGACTAGGAAGTCTTTCTGGCACATCGTTATTGGCAAGAAACTAGGAACAAATACACGAGAAAACAACATATAAGCTTAAAATTATTTGTCTGCTTCAAGTTTAAGAGAAACAATAGAAAACTGCATACCTCGAGAAATTGATTGGAAAAGCTTAGCCTGTTTATACCATGCAGATAACCAAAGACTCTGATTAGAGTGCAAACTTTCCCTTGCTCAGGCTGCTGAGATATGATCCTTCCGTCTATAGGTAACATACGAATGTCAACGCTGGCTAGAAGCGGGCTATGTCCCAGACAGATATCTTCAAATGCAGAATCTATTTTCACATATGTCAGGTTTGAGTTATGTATCCTTACATAAGCCAGATGATCCAGGTTTAACAATGTCAATTTCTCAAGAACAGGGCAGTTACGGATTAAATGTTCCAGTGTATCGCTTAGTATGGAAACATGACTGAGCTGAAGGATTTTAAGGCAATCAAATCCTTTGAACAAGGAAGGAAGCTTCAATATGCAACCATAAAGATCCAAGTGACTGAGTTTTGGACAGCAGAAAACAGAAGCTGGAAGCTTAAAATGCTTAACGAGACTGAACTCCCGGATAATTAACTCCTTGACACCTTTCTCCATTAAAAAACTTATCCATTGCTCTAAATCGGAATAGTTTGGACAGCAATAAGCTGCAAGCTTGAACTTCTCTATTGGGCCATTGTGATTAGATTGAACCAGATCAATGATTTTCCTGATCTCTCTCCATCTGGCTGCTTTGTCTGATACATAATTGTGGATGCATTTATCATTCAAAATGAACTGTGAAAGGCCAGTCCACTTATATCTCCACTTCCTGGATAGGATACTAGTCCTTGCAGCATCTTTTAGAGGTAAGCGCACTAGGATGGTATCCAATACATCCCACGGCAGATTGCTAATCCTATCAATCTTTGTTAGCTTTTCCATCTCAGCCTGATTCTCATGTTTCCTCATTATTTTTTCTGTAGGTTCTTCAGCTGAAATAATGAGCATGATAACCAGCAAAATACATTAGCATTAAAATCACAGAGTCAAGACATGGTCAGAAATAAAGCAAAATTTATGAGGTACAGACAGATAATAAGAATGATAACCTCAACAGCCAGTATTTGTTAAAAAGGATTATGAAGGATAAGCAGAAATATCTGCTCTAAGCATGGTTAAAAAAAAAAAAAAACCTTTAATTAAACCACAAGAGCTAGAGCTAGTGTGCTCTTGGCGTGAGAGATTCATGGAGGGAGGAGGTGAAATTTTCTCAGTTACATAAATGGATAGTGTTTGAGAGAGAGAGAGAGAGAAACGCATGAGTTCATATCATCTGTGCTTGCTTACCAAACTGAGAAGAATACCTTCTCAGCCAAGAGCAGGTGTAAGTTGTAACCATAGAACTAAAATGAGAAATACTCTCAATCAGCACAAAACTGTCATCTTTTGCCAAAATCATGTGCACATACAACATTTAAAACGATGAGAGATTTTTTACCTTAAAAAACGTCTTAACTACTCATCCCTGAAGTTGCATTGCATGTTAAACATCTCAGAGACAATGACCAGGCATCATCATGACTGTCTTAATCAAAAATTTATTTACATGCCATCGAGGGAAAAAGAATAGTAGGTAATTGTGGGCACTCATCAATTGTGGAAGTGTACAATCACATACCATCTTTGCCGAATCACAAAAGCACAAAATTCATGAAACTCATACCAGGACACATCTGAGCTGGTTTAGCGTAGCTATCCTAATTAATAGGTCATTTCATCACAACAACATAATCCATGATCCACAGAACCAAACCCCAAATCCAATAAGTAAAGAAAGTCGAAACATCACACTTGATGCATAAAGTAACTGCTCTCCATGAAGACCAGACAAATAAAAGACATAACTTTTCGGGGAAAAATTTTTAAAAGGACCAAACAAGTGCCAATCTATTTAGACAAATGCTAGGGGTAAACATTTCCCTTAACATCTCAGCTGTGCAAGCATTGCATACACATGTAGTGTCTCAACATATGAGACACACAGCACGTGTATTGCATGCATAGCTGGGAATGCAACAACTGCAAGAAGCACCACCATCACTGGTGTTCTCCTGTCAGTTCACAGGAACAGAGGAGCTTCATGGCGTTTCCATTCGATCGGTAAATTACTAAATAATAAGCAGAAATTGCATGATCAGAAAACTCCTGAAACTCATACTAGGGCACATCTGAGCCGGTTTATCATATCTATCCTAATTAAAAGGCCATTTCACCTCAGCAATGTAATCCACAATCCATAAAAACCAAACCCCAATATGTAAAGGAAGTTGAAACACCCCACTTACTGCATAAAGTAACTGTTCTTCATAAGAACCAAACAAGGAAAATCATAACTTTTCAAGGGAAAGTTTTAGAAAGAAACAAACAAGCAGCAATCAATTTAGACCAACACTAGGGACAATCACATATTTTGCTTTGCATCCCAGCAGTGCATGCATTGCTTACACGTATAGTACATGAACGTATAGACTGATATCACGTGTATTACATGCATGACTGGGAATTGGGATGCGACAACGGTGTCAACCGCAACAACCACCACTATCACTAGTGTTCATCTGTCAGTTCACAAGAACAGAAGAGCTTCACGGTGTTTCCATTTGATTGGTAAATTTCTAAATCATAAGCAGATAAAAGGTAAATAAACATACGATCTTTGCTGAATTGCATGATCACAAAATTCCTGAAACTCATATTGGGGCACATCTGAGACGGTTTATCGCATCTATCCTAATTAAAAGGCCATTTCACCTCAACAATGTAATCCACAATCCATAAACACCAAACCTCAATATGTAAAGGAAGTTGAAACACCCCACTTACTGCATAAAGTAAATGTTCTTCATAAGAACCAAACAAGGAAAGACATAACTTTTCAAGGGAAAGTTTTAGAAAGAACCAAACAATTGGCAATCAATTTAGATCAACACTGGGGACAATCACATATTTTGCTTTGCCCCCGCCGTGCATGCATTGCATAACTGTGTAGTGTGTCAATGTATGAGACTGACACATGTATTACATGCATGACTGGGAATTGGGATGCGACAATGGCATCAACCGCAACAACAACCACCACTATCACTGGTGTTCGCCTGTCAGCTCACAAGCACATAGAAGCTTCATGGAGTGGTTTCAATTTTATTGGCAAATCACTAACCAACGAGCAGATAAAAGGAAAACAAATGAAGATCAATTTGGATTTCAGACGGAAACCTAGATTGATTGCCTTTGTTCTGTTTTTGCATATGATCATGTTATAGAAGACAAACCAAAGCAAATAATTTATAATAAAGCTCCAAACATCAACAGCCCCATTTCTTTTCCTTCATTTCCTAACCAACCAAACAAACTCTTTCCAACAATTCTTGCAAACGAAAAAATTCAAACAAATAAAACAATCAAATAGATGATCAAAACACAATATTTTATCTTCCATTTCCATTAAAACCCAATATAACAGTGACACAATCTCATCTTATTAAATCAAGAAGCTCAAACTGACCCAATAAGCATATCTTTATAACATATAACAGAGAAGAGGAAATTGAGATGTTACCCTTTTAAGAAGGTGGTGACCGGCGATGGTGGCAACAGCCAACAGGGTTGAAACAGTGTATTTGTTTCTGTCTCTGTCCCTAAGTATGGACCCAGAGAGTAAAAAAAGAGGGGTCACTTTCTTATGTTCTTGTTTCTATCAAATTGGTCTAAACATGGTATGTGTCCAAAATAGACCTCTAATTAATGTCTTATGTCGCAGAAAAATGGTCATAGTGTTGGAACTTGGCTGGTTGATAAGTTTTAATGGAATCTCATTTTCATCGCCTACAATTATCTATTTTCAATCGCATCCTAAATCCATTAATTTTTATCAATTGCATCCTAATTTGATTCGAATTTATCTAATGTTGCCCCTCCATTTAAGAACCGTCATTTGTTTTTGCCTTCTTGGCTTGTATTTTGGTTGAAGAAGGATTGTCTTATATTGAACAAATTTGGAACGTAATCGATAAAATCAATTGATTTTTAGGATGAAACTATGAAACAAGTTAAACATTAGGGATAAAAATGTTGTTTTCCTTTACATCTTTTTAGTGCTCTCTGTTATTTAACGTTAAAGATATTTTTGAATCAATATGTATGCCAATCGAAATTAAATTATTTGATAATGCCTTTCAATATGGATAGTAAATCTAAACATGATAATAACAAAGGCAGTAAATCTAGCATCTATTTCTTCTTATGGTAGTCAATTGATGGAGATATAGACTTGCCTCTAATCTTAAATTCCACAATCTTTAAATGGTAATGATAAATAAGGGGAAGATAATTCAATACTAATATTCTATCATGTAATTAAGGTTAATTTTGCATTTTTAAAAAAGAGAATGATATGCTAATCATAGCTTGGTTGGTAAAGAATAATGTTATTAATTTTACGTAATTGTCTTATAAAATTCACTAATAATAATAAAAAAACATCAACCATTGGATGGATATTTTATGTATAAAATAAGTGGATTTTATTAACAATTCTCCTAAATCCAATGATTAATATTTTTCGATAAATGAATTTTATAAGATAATTATGTAAAAATAACATTATTCATTAGTAAATGTATACACTCTTTATATTATTCTTTAAGATTTGAATCTTTGAGAAAATCATTAAAGGAAATTCCTTATAAATGCACTAGTTCGAATGTAAATGTATATATAAGATAGACCAAAAAAGAAAAAATAGTATGAAGAAATAGATGCTTGTCTTTAAGAGAACTTTCAAGCAATTAAGAATGGAGATTTTGATGCAGTCAAATGCATTTACTTTGTTTTGGTTTGGACCGGATTTAAATAACAACCAATCCAACTTGGTTTATCTTGAAATTTACTATAAAACTAACCAACTTAGGTTTTTAAACAGAACAATAACAATCACACTGTAGCTTAGGTTTATTATTATTTTTTTTTAATTTTCAAATCATTTCATCTTAGTCCTTAAAAATTTAAAATAAAAATTTTAATCATCTAATTGATACACTACACATTTTTTTTTCTTTGATTTTTTCCTTTGCTTTTTTTCATCAATTTATGCTCTCTCTTTTTTCATTTAATTGAGTGTTAAAATTTTGAAAAATCAATTTTTTCTTCGCTTTTTTTTAATCAATTTATGCTCTTTTTATTTTATTTAATTGAGTGTTAAAATTTTGAAAAATCAATTTTTCCTTTGCTTTTTTCTATCAATTTATATTATTATTTAATTTAATTAGGTGTTAAAATTTTGAAAAATCAATACTTCCTTTGCTTTTTTTCCTTCAATTTATGTTTTTTTTATTTAATTGGGTATTAAAATTTTGAAAAATCAATCGTAATTTTTTTCACAAAAAAGATAACTATATAATATATCTTTTTATATTTTAAAATTCACATATACTTTAGCTTATATTACTCTTATTATTTAAATTTCATTCTTTGAATTTATCATTTTTTTAATGAAAATTCTCATCCAATTAATATTTTTATATGAAATTTTATTTACTGATATTATATAATTTATTTTTCTCTATGTGCGAATTTTAAAATAAAATTTAAAAAGATGATTTTTTTCTTTTTTAAAAATAAATTGGTATAATATATATGCAATAACCTAGTACCTACTCGAAACTGAAATTAAATAAAAATTTAATATTAAACACAAGAAAAACATATTTTAAAGGTGTAAAATTATCCTTAGGAACTTCAATGAATATATATAATAGGTAAAATATTTTTTCTATGCTTAAGGGATATTTTATTGATTTTACGATACATGAATAGTAGTTTTTTCATGAAATAATTAATTAAAGCATGTTGTTTATGAATGAAAAATAGTTTGTGTACTTAGAATAACTTTTAGAGGGGTTTTGAATTATTTTATGTGCTTGGGTGAATTTTATTATGTGCTATGAATATTTTATTGGAATTTTGGTATGTTGAAATAGTATTTTTAGAGGTAAAGAATTTAATTAGGCACCTTAAGAGTATGATGAAATTTTTATAAGAGCATATAATAATCATATGGGATGTTTGAGAGTGCCTAGAAAATTTAAATTAATTTTATTAAGTATAGGGAATATTTTTAATAGGAAACCGTGTGATTTTCACACTAAATTATTAATTTAGTGGATCAAATGAGGTCCAAAAATTATGAAAATTTAAAATAAACTCCATTAATAAATATTTTAATTTATTATGGAAATAAATTGGATTTTCAAAGATTATAGTAAGGAATTTTAAAAGTAGGGACTAAATTACATAAACTTAGGGACTCAATTGCATAACATTAAAAGTATAATAATCCAAATTAAATTATGTAGGAATGTTAAGGGTCAAAAATTAGTCCTAGAAACGGAAAAAAGGAGGATTATAAGTGAGGTTTTTCATAAAAGAGAGATTTAGGAAAGAATAGGCTATGGAAAAGTCTAGAAATTTGGAGGATCAAAATTTATCATTTTCCTTCCAACTTTGGCTTACCTAAAGAATTAATTAATTCTGACTTCTAGTAAATTTTGTGGATGAAATTAAGCTAAATGGAAGGCTTAAAGAAAAAGAACAACAAATGGCAAAACATTTAGCCAAATAAAAAGAATTGATTAGAAATTGAATTAAGGGCTGAGATTTATCCAAATTAAGGGTGGAGATAATTTCAACAATTATCCAAAATGTTCCTATAAATAGGGATGCTGAAAAAATTAAAAAGGAAAGGAAAATTGAAAAACAAAAAGGAAGCTCTTGTAAAATTTTCACTCAAAAACTACCCAAAATAATTCTAACCAATTTTAGACCCTCCAAATCAGTAGATTAAGCTTCAATTTTGAGATTGGAGGCTGAATACTCTCAAGGAGAAAATTAAAAGAGATAATACAAATTTAGGGGGAGAAAGGAGAGGAAGAGAATTTTCAAGCAACCTACCTTTTCTAGGTTAATTTGAAGCTTAATCAAGTAAGTTAACCTCACCTACATCACAAGCATGCTTAATTTCAAGTTAATTTGATGTTTAATTACTTGATTGGATTTAATTGCTCAATTAAGAAAAATTAGGGTTAGGGTTCTTGATGAACCAAATTTGGGGTTTCGAATTATTTCATTTAATTGGTATTTTGGCACTTAATTCTAACTTATTTGAGCATGAATTAATATTTAGGAATGAAAAATTATACTTTAATTGAAGAAAAATCTACTAATTTTTAGAAATTATATTTGGCCTAAACTAAACAAATTAGGGTTTGAGTTCAAAGCAATTTGATTCTGGTTTGACAGGTCATTCACACTTGAATAAGCATTTCTTGATGAGTAGAAATGAAAAATTTGCTAAAAATTGAAGAAAATGGGATATATGGGTTGGGCCCAATTTCGACCCATTAAGGCCCAATACGGGTTTGGATAAGATTTTAGTCCCAAACTTCAATTAAATTAATTTCTATAATTTTTACATATCTAGGCTACTTCGCTTTAAAATGGTGGGACAAAATGAGGAGAAAACGTTAGGATTTTAAAGAGTTCAAGTTTAGGCCTAAATGGAAATTTTGGAGAATTAGGTTTAAATCAAGTTTGAAACCTTAAGTTTGATGATTCGGACTCAAAAAAATAGTAAAAGGATGGTTTAGAATGAAAAGGGCTCATAAAAATTTAAAGAAAAATTGGGTTAGGAAAAGTTGAGTCTTAGGCCCATTAAGGCCCAAACCAAAATTGAACCTCCTAAATCAATGAAATAATACCTAGTTAGGTTGGAACATAAAGTGATACTTAATTTGGTAAAGAACGAATATGGAAAGATAATTAAGAACCTAAGGAAAAGAATTTAGGAAAGTAGAATGAAAGGTAAGTTTAATGAACAAAGAAATGGAACAAAAATATTAATCTTCCTTTATGTTATGGTTATGTTCTTTCAAATTCTATATGAATGCATTAGGTTATGAATAATGGTTATGGTTGAATGTGATTG